GATGGTGTAATAAATTCTAATCCAGGAACTCTCAGTTTCATTGCTTAATTTTCTTTCCATCTTACTGCTTATCTTCAAACCCAGTTTGTTTTTGTGATTAATCACTATGCTTTAATTATGTTCAATTTGTAACAATGAAAATACATCCTGCATATCAGATATTTACATTACGATTCATAACAGTAGCAAAATTACAGTTTTGAAGTAGCAACAAAAATAATTTTATGGTTGGGGGTCACCACAACATGAGGAACTGTATTAAAGGGTCACGGCATTAGGAAGGTTGAGAATCACTGCATTAGATCACTGTGCCCCTTTTAATACACAATACAATTGATTTAATATTTGGAAGAATCCAGAAGAAAAAGTTTTTAAGCTCAAGTAACATCAGATGCCAGGAATAATGGCTTATATTTCTAGCTCACAGGTTGTTTCCTAATACAGAGTTTTCAATCTACTTTCCATAGAACCACTGGATCCTGGGAGAACAAGAGGGGTTCCAGGAAAAACTAAGGGGGAGGGGATTTCAATTGAACATAGCCAGTTTTTGTCCTTGGAGCTTTGCACCTTGATCAGGAATTCCAGGAATTTGTTTTCAACTAACACTCTGCAGGCTGAGCAAATTTGAAAACCTATCCTAAATAGTGGGCAAACATAAGTGTCAATGATTTTTCCCAATAAAACAAAAGAAACAATTACAAAATGAAGTGAAGAAAGTCTTTGCATGCATGAATATGGGCATCCTTGCATAGATATTTAACACTAGATAACTACAACATCAAGTACGATTTTTTGAAAGGAAGTGAATGATCAGCAGGATATTTAGCTCTAATTTAATTTACTTCAAGTTCCCTGGGCTCTTGTATTACTCAAGAGTTTTTAATAGTTAAAGTGTGCAGCTGTAAATTAATTAAAATATACAATTTCTCCCTAAAATTCGCATTCATTCTTGAGACATGAAAAATGGTCAATGTAATTCTAATTTTTAAAACAAAGAGGAAAAATATGCAGCCTCCAGAAGTTGTTGAATTGAAACACACAATTGGTACAATCAAGATGGCCAGTTCTGAATTGTGTGAATACAACTCAGCAACATTTAAATTGAGAGAGTACATGATGTTATTGGTCAGATTTACTTAAATTGATGGAAAATATTA